TGATCAATTTACAAAGAAACTGTAATTCATTTCATCCTTTTGTGAGCAAAAGCACTTGATTTTGGGCAATTGCAATGCTTTTTGATTGCTGTTATTAACATTAATTTTGTCTTCTCTCTTCAGTATTCTGTCATCAAATGCGTTCAATGGAGAATTGCCACCAGAACTTGCCAAGTTGGTCAATTTGACTGATATGTAAGCAGACAATCTTGACCTCCAAAATTATTTAATTTATACGTGTTAAGTCTATCAGTATCAGGTCATCAGCAAGAGTTGTTTACACCAAAGAAGGGTTTTGGCCGTGGTGATCTTGATATATTTCTACTTTTTGTAATTTTCAAGACTTTAATTCGTTCTGTTATACTTCTAAGCAGTAATCCTAAGTTTCATCGCCACAGTACTAGAGAATGGCCACTTAATTTAGTCAGTTAATCATCACCAAGATAAGCAACCTGCCTCTTTTATACTTGTCTTAGCAGCTGATTGTGGTACCAAGGAATTTTTCCAAGAGCCCCTCTTTATTCAACCACAATTTTGTCCAGACTTCTTTCTCTAGGCATTTTCGTTAATCATCATATTTATGATTCACGGGATATGAGATTCTTGGGGTGGTTCCAAATCAAGCCCTTGGTATCTTTAAGTTTTGTTCATCAAAATCTTGATGTAGATCATGTTTTCTATGACCCCTTACAAGCTTTTCTTTCTTAAAAATGTTTTAGGAGGATAAGCGACAATGGAAAGATACCTGATATCATCAGTAACTGGAAGCAGATTCAAAAACTGTGAGTTTCCAAACTTTAGCTGAGTATTTAGACAGCATTTTAGTTTTGAACATGTCTCAGCCTTCCAGCACTGTATACTTCACAGTGTATCTAGTTTAATTTTGAACTGTCTTGTTGATAATAAATTTTATTATGAAAATAATGTTAATAAACTTGTTTACGTTTTTGAATATTGTGTTAAACCCTAGATATGAATGCATGTTAATGTTAAGATTGTGATAGATGAATCATAGCAATATAGGTATAAGCTGGATGCATATTGAACCACAAATGTTTTACGTTATGAATATTTACATAAAATATGAAAAAAACTACATTTTATATTAAAAAGTTCCATAAAGAGATGATTTTGATGAATTATTGTATATTTTGATTATGAATATATTTATGTTTGAGAATGTGATAAATAACTACCCTATGTATTTATAAATTTAAACTTGCTTAGGTTAATAAGTTATTTCCACGTAAATTCATACGTCGCTCACGGTCTTTTTCAAAATAAAGATATGAGAATCAACTATTATTATTTTTATTATTTTGAGTTTAATACTTTATATATATATATATATATATATATATATGCTATTTCAAAGGGTTAATCTTTCAATTGAGCCCGTAACTCCCTTGGTTGCCACTACAATCTTCACAAGTATTCGTTCTTGAAATTGAAAGAAAATATATAAGTAGTACAAGTTCTTGAACATCATTTGTATTAAGCCATTAACTAGATCCTTTTGACAATAGTTAATATCAAATTGAAAGAAAATATATAATTGAGAGTCACACATTTTGTTCATTTATTAATTATTTATTATTAAAAGTATCTAAAAAATATTTTGCCAAGAAAACCTTGCTCAGAACCTGGCCGTGGACAGTCTAATGTAGACTGCCCATTCCAAACTTATGAATTATCAACTGGTTCAAAAGGCGAATCTGAAAATCAGTCTACTTTGGAAAAGTGAGTTTCCCACCGCTATTATGCTTGTCTAAAAAATCAGTTTGACTGGTCTGTCAGTTCTTGGAAGTAGCCAATGTGATTCAATTCTCATTATCATGTCTTTTTTATTTATTTTTTTTGTACAGATTAAATAAACACAGAATCATATACTTATAATGCCTCCTCCAGTCATAAAATCTTAACAGCAAGTCAAGGCAAGGTGATGACTATTAGATGCACAGATATAATACCATGACCCTATGTGTGTAACCATCCATGCTATGAATTCAGCATAGTCATTAACCAACCCAATCCAAAATTTTGCTACCACAAATACAAAGTAACAACATGCATAAACAGTTTGCATAATGCAATGACATTGCATATACAAGGCACTATTTATGCTGAACAAATACCAGGCTCAAATTCTGATGTATTATTCTATGATCATTGGTGCCGCATAAATATTCATTATCCTCGTATTAGGACAGTAGTGGGTACACCTTAATTAATTCACGATCTTAGACAGATGATATAGAAACTGAGATAGTAGCCATTGATCATTAATGGCTTGATTTATATCAATATACTACATATGCTGGTGTAAAAGTTTTAAGGTACTCCTCTTCATATATGTGCATGTATACTTCCACCATCAGCTAATCTCAAAGTTTAGGAATAACAATACGTAGAAATCCATCCCTGCATCAAAAGAAGTCAAGGAGCCATCTGCATGAGTGTCTTCTGTAATTCACAAGTTTTTAAAAGCTTGGACATGTATGCAAAAGTTCATAAAACTCAGAACAATCCCCCTTCAAACAATGATCATAAAAAATAATTAATTCTACGAATACCTGATAAACATTGGCAGGCAGTGTTCGCTTGGATATGGATGACTAAACACAGAGAAAGAAAGGATATACATTATGTGCCAAGACTCGTCTTTTTTTTTTTTTGAAACAAAACATCGAAGCCTTTTAATTATGCATTATACGTAATCTTCAACTGCATTAACTACATGCAAAGTCTCCAATGAAACAAAAATAAAAATTCTAGAACTGGGCAGAGTTTTTTGACACAATAATAGAGTTGGAAGGTGCAGAAAAGAATCATACTGGAGGGCAAGACTGATATTCATGACAAATCTGCATTTGTTTATGCATGGAAAAGAAGAAAAAAGAGCCAACATAAACTGTTAATTTTTGGAAAGATCTGATTCTTTCATTTGTTACTTTTTGGCTGAACACATCAAGTGTCTTTATCAAATTACTCATGTACTTGTTTCCAGTTGTAAACCTCTATTGCCACACTAATCCATCCTTTTTCATTATGGTCAGTTGCTGGTAGCCAAAAGTTTAATTAAAACTCGGAGCATCACTCTGTTAAATTCCAAAGTTCACAGAAGCATAAATGATAAAACTAACACCTCTAAATTGGTTTTAGCTTTGTGTCATTGAATGCAATTCATATATGCATAATATACATAATATTTATATTCATAGGTACTTTGGTTAATTTATGAAGAGGAAATAGAATGTTTTTAGAAAAAATTTAGCAAATTTCAAGATGCAATAGCTCATACAAAAGATATGTAGCTATAGTTTTATGGAACAGATGTTAGATATAAAATGATATCCAAAAGCAGAAGCAAAAACTTGAAAAGAAATCAAGATATGATGCTGAGACTTACAGAAACTCAGCTGAGACAATGTCCCTGTTCACATTAGTAGGAAGTGGCCACACCACCTGGTACGGCCCCTTTGATATCTCGTTTTTGTGATATGCAGAGATTAAGTCATTTGAGCAACTTGCTGCTCCTTTCCAACACTGGGTAGAGCGTTGACCAGTCACTAGTAAACTGTCAGGAGAACAATATTCATACAGAACAAATGTGAAGATTATTTTAAGTTATTAATGACAGAGGATGAGGAGGACCCTAAAGTGAATTTTTAAATGAAGAAAACATGCTTTACATGTATACCTGAATCTTAGCAAAATTAAGTATTGTCTAGAAAGGGAAACAAAAAGATACTGTCAAGGTCATTAGAAAGATGCATAATTCCCCTCCAACTAGATGTTCTCATTTCATTGCTTTTGTTTATAGGACTAGGACAAATATGAAACGAAAGACCTTGGAACAGATGTAAGAGCATAATAAGAACATATTAGTCTTACTTTTGGTCATCAACCTCCACTCTAATGTCACTGATGCTGACACCTGGAATTTCTACCATCATAATATAATTGCTTCCAGATTCTGCAACATCCATCCTAGGGGACCATACGCCTGCATGAAATAAAAAAAAAAAATCAAAAGATACAGTTAACCTATATCAGCATCCAAATTACATGATAGACAGAACCAGATTTTTATCAACCCTTAAATATTTGTTGTTGCTGTTGTTTTTTCTTCTT